AGCATCTCTTCACTGCACACCACCTCAATCACTCTTCACAACACCAACGTGTGCTTGAGCCTTGCACATCATCCCGGCATCGAGCTTCATTGTCTACCACCACCCGTCACCGGCCCGACACCACACCAGTGCGATCCATCAAAACACCCACCGGCTCCTTGTATCGCACTCCATGTCGCCCGCTTGCTTCGCGTTAACGGTGGAGCTCCTGTGAGCTCGGCCGGCGAAGAGGTGGAGGCCATGGATGAGCGCGAGTCCAGCACTGCGTCCTCGGTCGACTTTTACGAGACCGACCAGAGGCCACTCACGCCCGCGAGGAACGCCCCAGGTGCTACTGTTGCGAAGCGCAGGGCTGAGGAGCTTGCGCCTTCCCCAGAGAAGAAGCGCAAGCTCGATTCCCCATCTCCTACTACATGCGCGCTGACGCCATGCGCTGGTCTCCCAGCAGCAGTCTGGCAGCATGTCTTTCTTTCCTGTTCCCTGCATGACCTCGGTCGATTGCTTCAAGTCAATCGAGCGTTTCATTCTTATCTCACAGACGTGCGCAACGTCTCGCTTCGCGACCCAGACTCTGGGTCGCTGCGTCTCTTAAAGTCTGAATCTCTTTGGGCTTCGGCCCGCAATGCGCTGCCTGTCAAGCCTCCAAAGCCTCTCCCAGGCTTTTCCGAACTGCAAATGTGGCAGCTTGCATGGGCCAAGCGATGCCAGTTCTGCCAAAAGGAAAGCTCGTTTACGCCCGGGGAGAAGATCTGGCAGAAGGGGCCCGGCGCTAATGGTGTGCGGGCGGTATGGCCATTTGGCGTCAAATCGTGCGGACCCTGCCTGTTGAACAGGCGTAAGACGGTAAGTTGGAAGCGACCAATGCGTGGGTGTCCGCTAATGGCACAGGATGTGAGTCTTCTCTTCTCAAATGCGTCCGCTCTTCGCCCGGCTCTGCCCTTCGCATTCATTACCAACGACCACAACTATATCCCTGCCTACACCCTCCAAGCTGCGACCACCCCGGCCAGCGTCGAAATCGCCAAGTACTACTACAAGGAACACGTGGACGCTATCACCGAGGAGCTCAACGATGCGCGCAGTCTTGGTACCGCAGCAGCCGAAGAGTGGTCCAAGGGTCTCGAAGCGCGTGGGAACGAGCGCATGAAGGCGGCAGAGCTTTGGGATCGTTGGGAAATCAAATACCAGTGGTGGTCAGATCACAATGAAGCGAAGCGGGCTCCCTCAGCAGCGCCCTCTACCACCCCCTCGACGAACCAAGATTCGTGCAGGTCTCCAATGCACCACACCCCGTCGCCTATCATCCATGCCCCAGTCCCAGCGAGTAAGTACTCTCTTTTTGCGGTTACCGCCGGAGAGGACGGCGCGCTCCAGCGTTTGAATCACAAGCCGTCCGTTCCCAGCCTAACAGCTACAGCGGCCGTCCCCTCGTATATGCAACCGCGGCCTCCGACCATACCCCAGCAATACACGCCTCAACCTACTCCCGGCGGGACCCTGCAGTCCTCGCGCGGTGAGAGGAATCTCCACGACGCAAATGAGGCCAAAGCAAACCGCAAGGCCGACATTGAACGGCGGTGCCAGCACATGGAGCCTCCTATCCCACCAAACGTGTTGCGCCACATGGACTCCTTTCGGGCTGCCCTGCAGATCTCCCAGCCAATGACAGACTATGCTTGGAGCGTGCTCCAACCACGCCTGCTCGCCCAACTTCCTGCTGCCCAACAGGCCGAGGCCGACCACGTGTCACGCCTTGCGGCGCTCCCCAGGACAGCGGACCGCCGGCACACAGACGTGAACTCCAAAGAAGCTAAAGAAGTATTGGATCGGGAATGGGAAGAGCTGCAGCGTCCTGTTCGTGACCGCCTCAGCTCCATTGCCGATGATTTTATCAACCAGGATTGGGCCCGTGGTACTGCTGTGACACACGACAACAGCCCCAAGTTCGCAGCGGATCTGCTGCTGTATGTTCGCCGGGTGTTCTATGCTGAATCCGCGAAGAAGGAAAATCCACCTGACCATGATCAGTCCGATAAGCCCACATTGGTCTTGGAAAACATGAAGTGGGTGTATGACAACAAGGTCAAGCCTCTAACAGAACAGTATCGCAAGGATTTATTCCTTTGCTATGGGACCGGTTGCGAAAGTAACTTTCGCTTCTATGGTTTCGAAGGCGTTATCCAACATTTCGGAGCTAAACACACTAATGCATTCAGTGTTGGCAATGTCATTGTTGCTTGGAGAGAAGCTGAGTGGCCAGAAGAAACCCCGTTTCATCCGGACCCCATCTCCGTGAAGCACGCGTATCATGCTCCTCCAAGCACGGCCAGCCACGGGTACGGCGCTTACTATAGTGGGTATTCGCGTGCGGGTACTTCTACTCCTCACGTACAGTCTCATCTGCCCCAGGCCAGCCCCGGTCCGTACCATTACGGTGGCCACTACAACGGACCCTTTGCTCCTCCACAAATGGCCTCTGCAGCAACCCCAGGTTACGACTATGGCCAATCATACGGCGCTCCCACGGATCCTTATCCGTACCAGTCTGCGGCAACATCGCGCTATGGGGCCCAGACAGGCAATGGTTACTTGACATCCCCGGTAATGCCAACCCCGGCGATTGTTCCCCCTCCACCTGGTCCATCTCAAGCGCAAGGAATAGCAGACACATCGCATCAGTCTGATGAAGCCAACCATCGCACCGGTCTGTATGGAAAACAAGTGAGTACTGTCATGGAACTGACCCAGGACATCTGGAAACAAACTTCGGGGATCAAGGACTTGCCAAACAGCCTCAGGATTTACGTTTTGTTGCAGCGGATCATTTCAAAGTTTCATGTCGAGTTCAACCATGAACCGAATCTGAATCACATCATTGATGCTTTCTCTAACCAAGAGCTTCCTCGGGCTCTGAAGGATGCTCCGGGATTGTCCTGCAAAGCTTGCCAAGATGACCCCTCGTCCTCGGTGTCCCGCCAGGAAGAGAGAAGAACGTATATTGCCCTGGACCTGCTTTACCATTTCCAATCCCATCACTCCGGGGTCCCGACCTCGGGGTACAGAAATGGCTATCCTGCAAACTCCTTGGACTGGAAAGAGGACATGATCGAGCTCCCAAGTGATCGCTTCATATCTGGGTTGATTCACGCACCTGGCATGGATGACGACAAACTGCACATGGTGGCCACTGTCTTTCCAAGGCTCTTCCCTACCCCGCTTCCGAAAATCGGAGTTGTTGACAATCACGGAGGGACGTCTCCAGCTCATTCGACCTCTAAGGACTCCAAAGATGCCCTTGCAACAGCTGGCACCTCTGGGTTGCCCATAGACAAGTCAGGTCCTCCTTCCTCGGGCTCACCGTATACGGGTTCTCCACGGCAGTCCAAAACCACGGATGATGGATATGACCCGGAGCGGCCTGCGCTCCATAACCAAGCGAACCCGCCAGGCAGGCTACCCCAGAGAAACCGATCCTATCATGGAAGCACTCCCCCAGCTGACCGCAGGCCTCGCTACTTCGCCGAACCGCGTTACTATGTAGGTTCATCGCAAACTCTTTCAGAGCGAGTCATGGGAGCTGACGATTCGTCATTGCAGCTACCTACGGAGCCCATGGATGATGACTATTCTCGGCCCCGCGAGTACTTGGAATACGCGTCTGCCCCCAGGAGACTCCGCGATCCAGGTCCGCATTACGAGGATTATCAAGAGAGACGGCCCGTTTACCGAGAACACGAAATCCTTTACCACCCGAGCCATGACGATATTGTCTATGCGCAACCGCGGGATGGAGCTCACACCCAGGAATATAGGCCGTCCTCTCGGCATGTCCACTATGTGGAAGATAGACGACCCCAATACCGGTATGAAAGAGTGCCTAGATCGCGAGATCCCAGCCCTGCTGAAGAGAAGTCTGCGGCGGATCGTTTTCTGGATGAGTTCGTGCCTGGTCGGCCATCTACAAACGAAAGTGGACCAATTTCAGCACCTCCGAATGCGCCAGCAACAGCGGAACTAGACCTCGACGATGGTTCCCGATACACGCCGCCACCCCCCAGTATTCCCTCGACAGACCAAACGGCCAGGCGCCCCTTCAACGGGCCTGTCCATCCCAAGGCTCCGTCTACCGTCTCCAATGGATCGAGATATGAGGACTGCCGTCCAGGCGGTCGTCAGATACCCACCCCGGAATCTGGACGTGGCCTAAGGAGACCTGGTCCCCACCGACGCCGGGATAGGTATCATGATCACATGCCCTCGCGGTACGCTAGATACATGAGCATCGCCCGTGAAGAGCCTTACTCTCGAGCAGCTAGCATGAGCCGATCCCAGAGCAAAAGATACGAGCAGCAGCGTCGCCGGATCGACCAACAGGAGACTCCACAGCCAATCCCAGATCAGGAAATGGCCTACTCTAGGGATCATAGCGTTGAGCATACAGCCGTGGATGAAGCCGCTTATCAGGCTCCACAGTTACCGAGAGAATACGTGTCTGTCCAGGACCGCCTTCATCCATACTCGCCTCCTCGTTATCGTTACAGTGGTTACGCCGAGGAGCCACGTGGCCCTGCACCAGTCTACGTAGACAAGTATGGTCGCCCGTTGGAAGAGTACGAGATTATACGCGTGCCTCGCGACCGAGGACCTTATACACCACAACCTCCAGTAAGATATGTGGAGCGGGACGAACACGTTCAATATGTTCCCATATCTTACACCCGTCCTCAGCCACAGCGCTACGAGGATCGCCCCGAGTACACGTATTACGATGAGCGGCAGCACTCTGCACGTAGACCGGTGTATGAGGCAGAGGAGGCATATGAGCCGCCACCACCCGAAATAAAGGTGGAACAACCGGCGCCAGTCCCAGACGGATCTTGATTGTCACTTTTGGAGTTTGATACTCATGGAGAGCTTGATTTACTGAACCTGCACATACCCGTTTCTACTTTATTTCTTGTATTTGTACGCTGGACTTATGATACGTGTCATAATGCAGCTATGTGACTATGTACGGCCACAATTTCTCCTTTGGGCATAATTGTGGGCGGTGTTCTGTATACTGTTTTGTGAGCATGCGCTGGGAGGGTATGTGATGAGTGGAATTTTGGATGTCGTATGCGAGCATTTGCTTTGGAGGGTATCTGCCTGAGCTTGGAGGATATCAGCCTATGCTGGAGGGTATCTGTGCTTGGAGGTCATCTGAACGTACTAGGGGGTAATTTGAATGTTCTTGGGGAGTATCTGAATGCGCTTGGGAGGTATCTGCCTACAGCAATGATCTTCTACACAATCCAAAACATCGCCATCAATTCAACTCTAACGTCCAACCTCCCTTTCTCCAACCCTCAACCTACAGATCTTTCCACCGTTCCACGATTCCGTTCCCGGTGAGATCCCGTAACTTCCTCTTCCCATCCTCCCCAGCCTCCCGCAGCACTCTCCCCCTCTCAACCCACCACCCCACCCACGCAACCCCCAACGCCGCAGAGAAAAGCTTCGCCTGCGGCGCGCCATCGCCGAACTGCGGATCCATCCACAACGCGCCCGGGTACAGGATGCCCGTCATCGCGGGGACGTAGTAGGCGTGGATGAGCAGGAGGGCGAAGTTGAGGTGGTCGAGGCGGGTTGAGAGGGTACTGCTAGCGTTGGGGTTTGGGTTTTTGCGAGGAGAAGTGGGTGATGGTGAGGCGAAGTGGAGGTAGTAGATCATGGAGGTGCCGAGGAAGGTGCCGAGGAAGGCGCCGAGGGACATGGTTTGGCCGTTGTGGAAGCTCGCGTGGGGCAGCCAGGTAGAGTTTAGAACGTGGGTTTCGCTGGGGAGGGTGAGTTGGTGAGTTTGTGTGTGGATGGGGTGGGATGGGTTGGGTTGGGTTGCAAGGAAGAGGGAATGGGGATGGGAACAAGGAGGTAGTACTTCCAGTCTGCATGTATGGGCCTATCATTGTAAAGAGAGCGGTTAGGGAGAGGATGAGTTTTCCAGGGGTGAATGTCGCCATGATGTATTTTTCAGTATACGTGATCGAATGAGTAGTGGGGTGATTATGTGGCTTTGTTTTTGTGGACACGCGTGAGATGGGGATGCTCTATAGGGAAGAAATGTGAGATTGCTTCGCCGCTTCGGAGCTTCGGAAGTGCCGAGTTTGGTAAGCTGCGAGGTCGATGTTGCATTCTTTCTTTTATAAGCTTGATATGCAACGGCTTTTGAACGGAAGGTTTGGTCGAGGGGCGTGGGTTCTTATTTTGCTTTGAAGTGGTGATGGTATGGAGATCGTTGCGTGGGGACTGGCCGACGTCATCGCTAGAGCCCCACTGCGACTTATGGGAGTCGCGCCTTACTTGACAACCACACAACCCTGGAGCGACACTTTTCGAGCTCAATGGTCCTTCTAATTTTATCCTACACACTGCCACTCTGGATATTGTACCGTTGCCAACGGTTTGTGGCCTCTTCATTCACAGAGTTACACCTGCTTCATGTTCGTTTACCTGTAGAGATGACAACGGAGATACGCGGCAACGGACGAATGACAAAAGATTCGCGAGCAGAGGGCTCATAGATACGACCATTGGTATTTCTCAACAAGATATATCGTTCTCTCGCGCTCTGACAATGCTGCTTAGCCCTCAGTGCTGCCATCGCACAAGCGACCCCTACCCACGTCACCCCAAAAGCAACGTACAAAGGACAATCCAAATTCCGAAATGAAAGTGTACTAATCTGCCGACCCTGCGATTCACCAAAGAGCAAGAACAAAATGCCCTAGTGACACTTGACAGTGTTCACGGTGTCCCGGCCAAAGGTCTTGCCCCACTCACCAACCCACACCCAGCCCGCCCCGGATCCACAACTGATGTCCAGAAGGGTGTTGAACTGGCTATTCTCTCCGCTGCCGCATGGCTGGCTACCAGACGCACTGTTTGCATCACCGTACGTATTAGTCGCCATTCGTTCTCGCGGATACAGGTGCGTGCATGGACAAAAAAGAGAATAAAAAGACGGTCAACTCACAAGTTGCAAATGATAGCGGCACTAGCACCAGCCTTGGCTACTACGCTCCTACCCGGCGAAATCCTATTGCCCTGGTCACACCATCTGTTGATGGTGTCGTAGGCTACCTGGTAGTTGCCGCCGTTGATGCCGTAGCCCAAGCAATTGGTCTGGGGGTTGGGGATGGCGCGACGCGAGAGGGTAGGGGCTGTGCTGGTGATGTTCTCGAGGAGCTCCCCGTTTCCGAGGATTTCGCCGTCCTTGCCGATGGCGACTTCGTAGAGCCCGTCAGTGTCGGCTTGGAAGGCTCCTGTGAGGGTGAGGAGGGATGAGAGGATGGAGAGGGCTGCCGTGATCTTCATCTTGGAGATTGAGACTGTGTGCTTTGCTAGGTCCGTTGAAGGTTGGTGACGAAGGTAGCGTGGAGGTGATTGTTTGAGCGGACTCGAGCCTGGTTTATATAGTCGTCTTTGAGCCCCCAACATGTAAACGCTCCTGCAATGTCTGGTGATATCTCTCAACTGAGTTGCGTCCCCGAGTTAATCGTTTTGTTCGTGTTGGTATTCTTAGAGGAGAAGGATGAAGCCGGAGAATGCCGCAACGTCGACGACGATGGCACGATACTCCCAGCACGTACACCAAGATACTGATATTACTGGTGGCTCATCTCACCGCTATAGAGTTGGTGGCTAGCAATTTGCGGTCCTTGGGCTCTTAGATCTGCTTATATTTGGGTTCGCCGAAGCGTCGAGCAGAGGATATTCCGTGTTTACACTGTCATCAGTGCATACTCGTATTAGAAACGAAGCCACAGCGCACTATGGCGACCACCCGCCATAGTGTAGCAGGAGTACGCTTTGCGAAAACGACATTTAAGTGTACAGATGATTAGTAGCTCTTGTTACTCGTCGATTCGCAGAATATATAGCAAAAACCAGATCTCCACGTCGTTAGATCGCGAACCACCACTGTGAAGCTTTCAGTCTCTGGCGATATTGGTCAAGACTATTCATTTGTACACGCTTGGCACCTCTCCGGTGGCTTCGACGGGAAGACAGTCTAGACCGCGAGGCACACTTTGGCACGGATCGATGTCATACCATGGGCATTTACCCGGGGGCCGGCCCGTGCTCTCGTCGTCTTTTTTAGGTTGCTCCCGCCCCCAAACTAACGTCTAGTGACTAAACTCTTTCAAAGTAAAAATATCCAGAGCACACCAAGCCCGCCTCGCGCGGTTAAAGACATCAGAGTGTGAGATGATGTTGGGCAGCAATGGAGCTCCTCCAAAGGCTTCGTTACGATCGACTCCGGATTCTCTTTGCTGAATTGTTCTCGCGGAAGTACCAAGTTCTTCCTCACAGGGTACAGAAAAGGTGCGAATAATCAGCGTTAAGAGATGGTTCCTAGTAGGAAGACCGGGCCGAAGCCGTCACTGAAAATCTAGGTTAGTCGGCTAGTCTTGCTTCATTGGGCTCGACGAACACCGTTTTACCGCAACCGCGATTTCCTTCACTCAATTCCACCTAGTGCGTCCGTTCCATCTGCCGTTCATGCGACAAGATGCGGAAGGGAGAGCATGATTTTTACCGTGTCCTTCGCTACTCTCCCCATCCCTACTTTCAGCTCCTTCTCCCAGCAACAACCATGGGGTACGATATGGAATGCGTCCGGGGCGGTTATTGAAACTGAGTGCAAAAGTGATCGATTGACCAAGCCCATGGTTCTGGCTACATACGGTACAATAGTGACGTAATCTGAAAATAGCCTAGCCCTACTGGCAGTTGCCCTATCACTGCTGCGAACAGCGAACATACCAATGTGAGTCTTTTCTTACAATGAGCTCAAAAGTCTTTCCAATTTGACCTACATCTAATGCCGCCCTAGATTCATTCACCGAGCTCCAAAATAGTGGAAACACAATGCTACACTCGCAGTGCGGAGCGGTGGGCGCAGTTGCGGCGGGCTTCATTGAGGGATACGTTGTAATTGCACAGGGCAGCGAAGTGATTCCACAACGTCTTTACTGAAGTTATTTCATATTAATACCTCGCTCCCGCATCCCTTAGGCCTCACTATCTCCGACACGCCTACGACACTATTCAACCCCGCTACACGACTGCCATGAACAGAACTACTCATCCAATGGATCCGTCGCCCGCTTCCACCATGCCAGGCGACCACCCCAAAGCCGAAGCGAATTGCACGGGCAGCGCCACCTACGCAACTGCCTCGACTCCCTCAACTCTCTCGACCGCGTCGACACTCTTAGACTGGCCGCTCGATGTCTTGCTCGTCCTGTTAGAGTACTGCCCGCGATCGACTCTTGCAGCTCTCGCTCGGACCTGCAAGGGTATGCACCAGCACTCCATTCCACGCTTGTATTGGGTTTTGGATCTCACCTGGCGAAACTTCGTCGACATGGAGACCGGTTTCCTCTATTCTCCTACTCAAGAGGAGCGCGACGAACTCGATAGGATCCCGAAACGCCAAAAAGCGACCCTGGCTTTCTTACTGGACCAACCGAATGTGGCTTCGCATATCAAGAGATTCATGTTCTCAACATGGGGACACAACGATGCACATATAGTTTGCGCCATCTACCAAGTACTGACTTTGTTAGAGAATGTGGAAGAAGTCGAGATACGTTTTGGTAGTTGGCCCGCAAGTGCTGTTGTCGAAATGCAGCCTTCGGATAAGCTTCTCCCCAACGTCAAAAGCATGAGATTGGGCGGCTCGATAAAATTCGTCTTCGCCGAGAAGATACTCCTAAGCTGCGAAAGGCCCTTCCTACAGATCGTCGACCTATCTGGTCTCGGACCCTGTGATACGCCGGAAGAAATTCAGACAACGGGCAACTGGCGTGATAGGTTCCATGCAGGCCTGGTATACCTCCACAACATGGTTTCTTCCAGAGCACCCGCTGTAAAGAGCATTGTCCATATTGTTGATCCGGAGCGGCATATCGCGCAGCCTCCTGAAAGTACGCGGAATGACATGATTCTGCAAGAGCTGAGGCAGTGTTGGTTGGCGAATTTCAAGAACTAGCCCAGTGACGGAGAATTAGACCCTAAAAACAAGACAGGAATTGATACTGCATTGATAGGGAGCGGAGGTTAGTAGGGTCGACGACTCCGGAAATGGTTTAAGAGAAAACTTACGGGATACCCGGGAGATTGCATGCTAGGTGACCTCGAGATAGAATACGGATTCTATCTACTGATACGTGCCAAAAATCCAGTGTATATCTGTTTCCCACCGAAATGTCACCTGACTGTGTATGTAATTAGTATGTCTCTTCCCCCCGGCGAAAAAAATGAGACACTTTTTTGATCAGTCAGCGCCCCAACAAAATGCGAAATTGTGAGTAAATACATCACAATTTTCATCCACCATGCCGCCTAAGGTAATTTAAAGGATGCGCAAATTTGTGTAATTAATTATAGAGCTATAAATTATATGCAAATTAATATACAAAGTGTTTTTCTAACGTGCATCCCTGCGTAGCGAGACGCACGGTGTGACGAGACAAATAAGGGGTACTTTACCTTTTAGTAGCTAAAACACCGTACACACAGCAAATACTGCTATAATTTAATAAAAATAGTCTGCTATAGCTAATATTAAATATCTATAATCTACTCTTTCCTAAAAATTACCTTTATATTATTACTTCTAAGCCTAATTTATTCTGCACCTTCTTTTGTTATATAACAGAGTTCCCTTTCTACGGCGCAAACGTTAAGCATTTATCGCTCTATAATTTTATAGGATAGCCTTATCTAAGCTGCAGAACCCCCCTCTAATGCTTAGAAGGTATTACTAGCCTTACGCGCGCTGTCGCGGACAAATTCATAAAGGGCCGCTATGTTGATTGGTACTTCTAGCGGAAGCGAACCACTAAACCCTGCTAATACAAGATGACTCTACGGGTAATTTACTCTTAATCTAGGCTCTGCGCATCGCACACGTGCTCTGGAAGATAAGTAAATCCGGCTCAGGATTGGG